GGGGGGGGGGGGGGGGGGGGGGGGGGGGGGAGACGCCTCTGTGTTGCGCCTGAGCTTAGTGCTATGTTAGTGCGGCAGGTCTTGACCAGTGGGGGGCGGCGGGGGGGGGGGGGTGTTAGGATATGTGTGTGTATTTAAAAAGTCCAGCTGATGGTTCTACAGAACCTTTCTCCTTGAAGGAGAAATATCATAAATATAAATAATATTGGGGAGAAAGAAATCAAGTAACACAAGTTTTCTGGAACGTAAAACGGTTCAAATCATTGATGGGGAAGGAACAGTGGACAGGCCGGGACAAAAGAAAAAAGAACTGATAAGAGCACGAACTACGGTGCCGAGCGCACTGGCCCGGAGGATAACCATGAAGACCTTTTTAACCTAGAGTGAGTCAGCGTCTGTGTCTTAATGTTGTTTTCTTTTACTGGTGATGTTCTGATTATTTTTAATATATATTTAGGTGTTTTTATTGTTTTACGGTGTTTTGTTTGTTTTAATTTTGTACAGCACTTCGAACGGCTGCTTGTTGTAGTTTAAGTGCTTTAGAAATAAATTGGTTTGGTATGAAGAGGCCAAGTGTGTGTGTGTGCGTGAGCGTGAGCGTGTGTAAAAAAAGAGGTTAGAAAAAATGATGAGGGGTTTTGAGAGGGCTGTTTCAGTTCATTTCTGTCCACCGACCTACCTGTTTATGTAATATATGTACAGTGTATATATAAATACCCAGTTCCAGTGTCGTCATCTACAGACTGTTGAAGAGGGGCCCCACCTTGTGGCCGAGTCCCCTCACTGTTTTCAGAGGAGTTTGTTTCTCCTCTCAGATGGGAGTCTGGATTGTTCTTAGTTTTAAGATCTCAGTTTATGTTTCTTTTTGTTATGGGCACTCTTTTGCTGAGTTTTGTTTCTCTTTCATAACAGAGGGCACAGGATTACATGCAACAGAAGAATAGAAGACCAAACAGGTTTTATTAAGGACTGTCACATGACAATATATGTAGAACCATCCACATTATAGATCAAATCACAGAGACAAATTCTAGTGCAGTCCTCAGCTTAGACACAGAGAAGGCCTTTGACTCAGTTAGCTGGCAATTTCTTTATCAAACAATGGGAAATCTGGCTTCTCAGAACACTTTATACAGTCCATTAAGGCAATATATTCTGCTCCAACTGTGATGATAAAAATAAGTGGTGGTCTTTCTAACAACAAAACTTCAAAAAGAGGCTGCTGCCAAGGATGTCCACTTAGCCCATTCCTATTTAACTTGTTTATCGAACCCTTAGCACAGATGATCAGACAGGAAGAAGAACTTAAAGGTATAAACATAAATGGCACAGAGTACAAAATTTGTTTATATGCAGATGATGTCTTGGTAACCTTTTGAACCCAGGTTCTAGTGTACCTCTACTTATGAATGCCCTCAAAATATTTGGATCTCTTTCTGGATACTCTCTTAATGTTAATAAAACTCAAGTTCTTTCTTTCAATTTTACCCCCACTCAAGACTTAGCCAGACAATATGATACTGTACGCAGAGGGTTCAGACTTCGTACTCGAGCGTCCACCCTGAGCGGCTGCAGTCAGCTCCACAGACAAGGGGCGTTTACCTTCAGGACAAATTGAGGTCGCCGATTGGTCATTTGCTGACACACCTACTGGATTGATTGACAGGTCGGAAAAAGAAAAAAAAACTAGCGCTGGCAGCCTCAGCCGCAGCGGTGTTCTGTGTTTATATGTTGTTAATAAAAAGATCCAAAAAAAAAAAAAAAGAAAAAACAGGGAGCACTGCCCCTGCAGACCACACATCAGACCAGCCCACCAGGAGATCTCCAGACCCTCCCGCAGCCACGCTGGATCTGAGTTTAAATTCGCTTGTGAGAAATTCCTTAATTTCTCACCATTTCAGTCATGGCATCAAAGGAGGAGGAAGAGATCACTTGCTTTTGGACAAAAAAACAAAAAAAAAGGCCAGATCAGAGCTGAAGAAGGGGATTTTAATACATTGGTGTCGCATACAAAACAGTCCGTCGCTGGGCAGTTTATTGTGCGACATCACACGTACGTGGACGTAAAAATTGAGCTTTGCATGACATGCCCTGCAGGGGTAGGCTCGTATCTCTGCGTATGGACGTACGCAAGAGTATACTGGGGCTTAAGGTTAAAATCAGACACCACTCTGAGCAGCAGGACCACGCTTTCCACAGAACAACTGTGTCAACTCTTGAAACTGTGCCTGCAGTCAACCTACTTCACATATGGGGAGCAATATTATAGGCAGAAACATGGGTGTGCTATGGGGTCTCCAGTTTCTCCTATTGTTGCCAACCTGTACATGGAGGAGGTAGAAAAGAGAGCCTTGACGTCCTTTTCAGGGACACCACCAAGTCATTGGTTCAGGTATGTTGACGACACCTGGGTTAAAATCAAATCTCAGGAAGTCCAACATTTTACTGACCACATCAACTCTGTGGATAAATACATCAAGTTCACACGAGAAGATGTAAAAAATGGCAAGTTGGCTTTCTTGGACTGTGAGGTCTCAGTCTCTGATAGAGGACATTTGCAAACTGAGGTGTACCGCAAACCCACCCACACAGACCAGTATTTGCAGTTTGACTCCCATCACCCTTTGGAGCACAAGTTAGGAGTCATCAGGACTCTGTACCACAGAGCAGACAGCGTCCCCACTAGCTCAGGAGCCAGGCAGAAGGAGAAATCCTACACAAAACAGGCTCTAGAGCAATGTGGATATCCTAACTGGGCCTTCCTGAAAGAAGAAACCCTAACAGGACTCCAGTCAGCCAACAGGTGAAAAGGAGGAACCCAGACCCAGACCAGTGGTCATTCCATATGTTGAGGGAGTATCAGAGAAACTGAGACGTTTATTTTCTAAACATAACGTCCCAGTGGCTTTTAAACCCCAAAATACATTAATGACTGGTTCATCCCAAAGATCCAGTCCCCCGGCACAAACAGAGTAATATTGTGCATGTTGTTCAGTGTCAGGAGGGTGATCAGTCTTACATCGGGGAAACTAAACAGCCACTGGCCAAAAGGATGGCCCAGCACAGAAGATCAACATCAGGCCAGGACTCTGCGGTCTACACTAGGGCTTTAACAGACTACACAAGTAATCTACATATCAATTCCTAGGACATCTATCGAGGTTTTTAATTTCACATTGAGTATTCGTGGTGACGTCATTACGTCGCCGTTACGTCATTGTGTCACGTGTCACGTGATCCACATTGGGCACGGGTTACAAAATGGATTCCTCCAAGCAGATGGATGGAGCGGAGCAGGCCCAGTCTTGACAAACAGGTAGAAATGCATCAATAGTCTGGAAATATTTCACTAAAGATGAATCTTCTGGTTCAACTATCGTAAGGAAACTCCCTGACTGTTTGGAGCTCGTTGTGAACCGGTGTTAGACCATATTCTGTGACCACCGTATATTATGACCGTAGGGGGCGGTGTTGCATCCACTGTTGCAGGTCACAGAATATGGTGTAACACCGGGTCCAATTGACCGATCCAAAACCAGCTTCCTCTTGTTTCACAAACAAAAAGCAAAAAATATTCATCTCCAAACCTATAAAAAATCTATAAACATATTAATCTGTAAAACTAAACCTAATGTGCCCCACAGCGGGGGGGGGTGGGGGGGGGTCGCCCCCCCCCCCCCCCGTCCACTGGTTTTAGTTTAGTTTTTGACGTGCTGCACATTTCTTCACGTTTGCAGCATAGGTTGTTTTCACACCAGATAGTCCGGTAGACTCGGTTAGGTTGGGGACCAATATTCATGACCTTTTGTTACATTTGAGCTGGTGAGTTTGCATTCACACTGCACTGTGCAGTCGAGTCAACCTGTTGAACCAACCTGTTGAACCAACCTGTTGAACCAACCTGTTGAACCAACCAGTTGAACCAACCTGTTGAACCAACCTGTTGAACCAACCTGTTGAACCAACCTGTTGAACCAACCAGTTGAACCAACCTGTTGAACCAACCTGTTGAACCAACCAGTTGAACCAACCTGTTGAACCAACCTGTTGAACCAACCTGTTGAACCAACCTGTTGATCCAACCTGTTGAACCAACCTGTTGAACCAACCTGTTGAACCAACCTGTTGATCCAACCTGTTGAACCAACCTGTTGAACCAACCTGTTGATCCAACCTGTTGATCCAACCTGTTGAACCAACCTGTTGAACCAACCTGTTCCCCCGCTCGCCTGTGGGGGCGCTGCACCAAGAACTACTGAAAGAAACGACACAAAAACCTCTGAAGACACGTCTTCTTCTTCTTCTGTAAATAAAAATAAAAACGAAGTGGCATCAAGTTTTAGCAGTTTTAGGAGTTATATTTTGTCATTTTATATTTTGTTAGTTTAAAAATTCATCTTAAATGTCAACTGGTGAAATGGATAATTTGAAGGAATTCTTGGCTTTCTATTTTTATTTGAATGCTCATTCTCGTACTTCTAAATGTTTAGTGAGGTCTTTATATTTGGTGCAGGAAGTTCTCTCTGGATGACCTGCTGACTAATGTGATGATTTACTGGACCTCTGGTTGCATCATCTCCTCCATGAGGTTCTACAAGGAAAACTTTGGCAAAGGTCTGGACCAGCCCCACATGAAGTGAGTGACAGCCACTGGACCTACTCTGCTCCCATCACTTATTTATATTTACAGTTAAAGTCTTAAAACTCCATCTTTTTACTGAGCACTTCACAAGCTTGATGAATGTACAACTGAAAACAGATTTTGTAGAGTTCATGTGCAGATGTTTTCAAAAGACATTAAAGAGATCTTTTCATTGATGCAACATCATTACTTTTTGTTCCCAGAATACCAGTCTATGTCCCCACCGGCTATGCCAGCTTCCCCAACGAGCTGATTCATGTACCAAAACTGTGGGTCAAACAGAAGTATCGTAACCTGCTTACCTATACTCCCATGGCTCGTGGGGGCCATTTTGCTGCAATGGAAGAATCCCATCTGATGGCAGAAGATGTGCAGAAGTTCGTAAAAACAGTTGAGAAGATGAAGCAGTAAAGTTGATACTTTGTTGAAATCAGGTCTCTCTTGTAAATGAGTCCTCGAGACTCAATGGGATTAACCTGTCGAAATAAAGGTTGAATGAATGGTGGGATAAAAGCAGTGGATAAATCCAGGTGTGTTAGGAAGTGTTTTCCATGCTGATCAAAATGTTTTGTGTTTTGCATAAGCAGAATAAATCAGTGGATACGTCACAATCGCACAGCTTAAAGATGACTAGATCAAAATATATTTTACCCTCAACATTCAGTTTGCAACAAAGACCTGCAGACTCCCCTCAAAACCTGAATGAGAACTTGTCGATGTTACCTGGTGCATGGGGGTGGGGGTGTTGTCCAGAAGAAGGGTGAATGCTGTGCAGCATCATTGTTTGTCTAAATCTGTTAATTCATTAAGTCTACGGACTCTGATTGACAACCATATTATGATCATGGTGGCAGCACATCAGGGTTCGGTTGAAGCATGGAGTGGCTTGGTAGCAGCAAATTTATACCATACCATACCATACCATTTTCGTTATAAAGCACTAGCGACAGGGCCAACCAAAGTGCTGTACAAACAGAAACAAACAGGCAAAGCACACAGCAACACATAACATAATGTAAAATCAAAATATAGAAACAAAATAATAGCAGATAATGACATAATGGCTAACACAGTGTGATGCATACTGGATCAACACAGATCATCTGGTGTTGAAATCCAGGGAATAGTAGTAGGTTTTGAAGCGGGATTTAAAAACTGTGAGGGAGAGGGCCTGCCTGACAAGCAGTGGTAACTCGTTCCAAAGTCTTGGACCTGCGACAGAGAAGGCCCCGTCACCTCTGTGCTTGAGACGGGTTACTGGAACTAAGAGAAGCAACTGGTCCGCTGACCTCAGGGAACACGGTGGGACATACGGCTGCAGCAGATCAGTGAGATAGGAGGGTGCAGAACTGTTCAGTGATTTATAGACATACAAGAGTATTTTAAACTGGATACGAAAGTGAACCGGTAACCAGTGCAGTGAGGCCAAAACTGGTGTAATGTGCTCTCTTTTACCTGAACTGGTTAAAAATCGAGCTGCCGCATTTTGGACCAGTTGCAGTCATGCAATGGAGGTCTGACTGATACCAAACAGGAGTGAATTGCAGTAATCGAGCCTAGATGTAATGAATGCATGAATTACTGTCTCCAGGTTATTTTTGGACACTATGGGCTTCAGCTTAGACAGCCGCCTCAGTTGGAAAATAAGAGGATTTAACAATCATGTTTGCATGACTGTTAAGTTTCAAGGAAGGGTCCATTATCAGTCCCAGATTACTGACTCTTTGTTTCTCTAACGGGGCTAGAGCGGAAAAGTCAATGCAGTGGTTGATGATTGTGTTGTTGGGAGGAAAGTCAAAGTCACTTTATTGTCAAAAGCTGCAATATGTACAGGACATACACAGGATTGAAATTACATTTCTCTCAGACCCCAGTGCAACAATAACCATTTAACATTAAAACATTTATTAAACATAAGCATAAAATGAAATAATAAAAGCATGATACTGTCTTAAATTGTATTATACGGTATAAAAATATTTTAAAAAGTATATCTATAAAATGAAATGAAATGAGGTCCTGACATTGATATTTGTAGTGAGTGGCAAAGCAGCATATGAAGTGAATGTACACGGTGTATGTATGAAGTCCTTGATATTGGTGTAGGTAAAGTGACATATGCAATAAGACTATTAAAAAAATATATTTGTATATCAGCGGTAGTGTAATATAAGCAGCAGTGTGAGTATAAACAGTAGTGCAAATGTAAACAGTTTTATGAATAAAAACAGTAGTATGAATATGAACAGTAGTTTGAATATGAACAATAATATGAATATAAACAGTAGTTGGAATATAAACAGTAGTTTGAATATGAACAATAATATGAATATAAACAGTAGTTGGAATATTAACAGTAGTGCAAAAGTAAACAGTAGTGCAAATTGAATGAGCACATGAGCATGTGTTGAGTGTATAACCTGTTTTTTAATGATGTAGAGTTCAGTGTTAGAAAGTTTTTGTCTTGTGTGGAAATGTGTGAAAGTTTTGTGTGTTAAGGCGGTACAAGAGGGAGGGGAGGCAGAGCAGGCAGAGAGTTCAGCATCCTGACTGCCTGATGAACAGAGCTGTCTGTCTGCTAGTTCAAGCCTGGAGACTCCGCAGTCTCCTCCCTGATGGCAGCAGGCTGAAAAAGCTGTGTAGTGGGTGTGTGGGATCACCTGCCATGCAGAAGGCTTTCCGAGTGAGGCGGGTACTGTGTAAGTCATGTAGCGAGGGGAAGGAGGTGCCGACGATCTTCTCGGCTGCTCTCACGATGCGCTGCAGTGTCTTGTGGCAGGATGCAGTACATGCACCGAACCACACCGTGATGCAGCTGGTCAGGGGACACTATGGCAACAACAACATGACTTCAGATTTCTTCTCGTTGAAACTTAAGAAATTTAAAGCCATCCAGTCTCAAATGTCAGACAGGCAGTCAAGCAGAGGGTGAATAGAGCGTGTACCATTGTCTCTTAGGGGGAAGTAAATTTGACAGTCATCGGCATAGAAGTGAAAGGGTATGTTGTGTTTCCGGAAAATAGCACCTAGTGGCAGCAGGTATAAAGAAAACAGAAGGGGACCAAGGATGGACCCCTGCGGTACCCCCAATTTAAGCGCTGCCAATGCTGAACTAAAATCTTTGATGTTGACACAAAAGGTTCTGTCAGAGAGGTATGATCTGAACCACTTGAGGGCTGACCCCGTGACGCCCACCCACTGCAACCTAGAGATGAGGATCTCATGGTCGATGGTGTCAAAAGCAGATGTGAGGATTTATGTCAAAAGAGAGAAACCCTCTTTAAACAGAGGAGGCGGCCACAGATTTCAACTTTCAAAAACTTTTAATGCAGCTTTAGGACTGATACCCAGCCAGTTTCACACCTAGCAGAAATGTGGCCCATCTGTGAATTAGGCCCTATTTACACGGACACGATGGGGGAAACGTGGTTTTTTTCGTATGTTAATTAGAGGAAAAGATTTGTGTTGACACGGTCAGATTTAGTGTTTACATGCATCCGGAGGAATCCCCCGCCATCCCCGCCCTCCCAAATCCGCTGTAGTTACCATGCCGGGTCATTAGATGGCGCTGTGAATTTTGTACCTTCACCTAATGCGCATGCGTGCTGCCTCGGCACACTCTTTTCTTCTGGACTAAAAGCTCATCTAACAACAACTTAACAAGTTAAAGCTGGATTGTGGATAAGAGTCGACAGATGTGACGCCAAGCGGGACCGCTTCATCTAACAGCTCCACACCAGTTGCTGAGTGGACCAGAACAGAGTCGACGATGTCGGACTTTACTCCATGATAATCAGTAGCTGATTTACAGCAGGTAAATCCACATTCTTAATAATGTTTGCTTGTCCAACATTTTTCAGTCAGGTCATCTGGACAGTTTCTTTTTTTGCGCTGAAACGTTTCGCCTTCGGTCCGGAAGGCTTCATCAGTCAAGGAAACGCACAACAAAATGGATTTTTCCGCCAGCAGCTTACTCCAAAGTGGAACAAACCAGTTCTGCTTGTGATAAGATGGTCTCTTTGGTACGCCCCCTCCTCCATTGCCGGCCCTCTTCCTTGTTGACTGGTTTGTTCCACTTTGGAGTAAGCTGTTGGGGGAAGAATCAGTTTTGTGTTGTGTTTCCTTGCAAGCCATTTTAACATAAAATTGGATTCACCACGCTTACATGCCAGATATATTAAACTGAGTTATGACTAGACATATTAGTTATTTAAGATATCTTTAATTACATTCTGACTAGTCATAATGACGTCAGATTTACCATTGAGTTGTATGGAGGCTTCAATTCAAGATATCTTAAACTGAATTTTGACTAGTCAAAAATACAGTTCTAGATATCTCTAAGTTAATTTTTACTAGTCATTTGCTTTCAAGATATCTCACTTTTAGTTCTGACTAGTCATAATTACAATTAAAGATATCTTAAATTACGTCATTATTCAAGATATCTTAAATGTATTTGTAGATATCACAAATGAAGATTTGACTAGTGCAAATTAAATTGTAGATATCTTGAAAGCAAATAACGACTAGGCAAAACTAACTTAAAGATATCTAGAACTGTACTTATGACTAGTCAAAATTCCTTTTAAGATATCTCAAAATGAATTCAAGATATCTTGAATATTTTATCATGTAGACGGCTTTTCTATTTAAGATATCTTGAATTAACATCTAGACTAGTCAATGACGTTCAAGATATCTAGAATAATTGTTTTGATTAGTCAAAACGTCACAGATTTACGTAGCTTTTTGGCGGAAAAATCATAAGGCATTTTAGCCTTTTTATCTTATGATCTGTAATGTCAGGTCAGTCCAACACAACGCTCGTGTTTTTAACATGATTTTTAGCGCTGCAGCTCGGATTATTTATTGTATCTGCAACAAGAAGACTTTTTGCGACGTCTTTTTCACGACAACCGGAAACCGACACTTCCTGTTTTGCGAGTCTTTGCACTAAGGAGAAATGTCTCTCTTTGAGGTGAGCCAAGATGGCGACGTGTCCAGACGCTTTCTAAAACGTCTACATTTAATTTGGACTCCAGCATAATATGAACGTCTTTTGAGAAAACAAAACGGACTTCAGTGATTTGTAAGACTGAAATTGATACTTGGTGATAATTCAAATAGATGTTAATCCAGTTACGTGTACTTGCTAAGAAGTAAGCTAGCTTATGAAGAAAAAAATGAGCGATAAAGGAAAAAGAAGATGACAAGAGGAAGTCCAGGACTCCAGTCACACTGTTGAAGGCGAGCGCCGAACACAACTACCGTGATGAAAACAAATGTTCCAATCTGAACATGCATGACGATATCTGGCCATTACCGGAGTCTCCAGTTAACAGCCCAAATGCTAAAAAAAATTGTGGCGATGAGACACAGCCTTCTTTACACACCATTTTGAAAGCAGT